GGGCCTCAGCCCCACCAAAAACCCCCTGGGTGCTGCTGCCCAGGGCTCTGACAGCAGCAGGATGGGGCGTCCATCATCTGCTCTCCTTGGAGTTCTCTGGAGGGGAAGAGTTGTGCCAAGATGGGTATCGACTCTCCCTGCATTGAGGACTCAGTGCTGCCCACTGGTCTGGTGGCTGAATCCTTCCCAAGAGTGAAGTTCCCACTGGGAAGGAGTCAGCTGAGCTCTCCAAGTGGCAAGGAAGAGGATGCAGGAGAGGAAGCACAAGAGAAGTGTGGTTACGGTGTCTCCCGTGTGCTGCCAGGAAAGGGAACCTGTGTGAGGGCAGCAGGAACAGGTCACACGTGGCTTGGGGTCGTAGCGTCTGCACAGACTGTGACAGCTCCCTGAGATGTTGGAGCCAGGGGGGTTTGGTCACTTCCCCCCAGGAACAAGTGACAGGACAAGAGGAAAGGGCCTCAAGTTGCCCAGGGGAGGTTGAGGTTGGATCCTGGGAACAATTCCTTCCTGGGAAGGGTTGTCAGGCCCTGGCCCAGGCTGCCCAGGGCAGGGGGGGAGTCCCCATCCCTGGAGGGGTTTCCAAGATGTGGTGCTGAGGGACCTGGGGCAGTGGTGGCCTTGGCAGGGCTGAGCGAACGGTGTGTCTGGGTGATGTTAAAGGTATTTCCATAAATACAATTATATTTATATTCCATATAAATCTTTATATATATATGTATATGGAATATATACACTGGATATTCCTATCTATCCAATCCATTCCGTAGCTGTAACAGCCATTTCTGATCCCCACACCGCAGGAGGGACAGGGTGACCCTCTTTGCAGAGCAGCTCCCAGAGCCCCCCCGGGGGGCCGGGACCCTCCGGCAGAAGGTGCTGGGGCAGGTGCTGAGGGTGGTTTTGTCTGTTTCCTCCCCCCCTTTCCAGGGCAGCTGCGGGGGGCCGGGGGACCCCGGCGAGTACAACCTGCGCTCGCGCACCGTGGTGTGCGGCACGTGCGGGCAACCGGCCGACAAGCCGGGCAACCCGGGCACCGGCGGCAGCACCGTGTCCTCGGGCTCCTCCACCTCCAGCGTCACCGTCACCCGCAGCTACCGCAGCATCGGGGACTCCGGCATCGGCCTCGGGGACAGCCTGGTCACCAGGAACTACCTGCTGGGGAACTCCAGCCCCCGCCGGCAGGTCGGTGCCCTTCCCAGAGCCCAGGGCACTCTGCCGCTGCTCTGGGAGCTCCACCCTGTCCCTGCGTCGCCCCATCTCAACAGGGCAGCCTCACAGGGGTTCCCTCTCCTCCTCCTTCTCCTTCTCTCTACTTTTTGCTCTTGCCCCGGGCTCCTTCAGGCCTCCACAAGCCTCTTTGGAAGAACGTGGAGCCTGAGAGGGATGGGGAAAGGATGTGGCTGCTGCATCTTCCCACCCCATCCCATGCTCAGCCCACCTGGCAGCACCAGAGCATCCCATGTTCTCCCCAGCTCTTGTTCCAGCTCTGCTGGGTGTTACTCAGCCCAGAGAAGAGAAGGCTCCAGGGAGAGCTTAGAGCAGCTTCCAGGGCCTGAAGGGGCTCCAGGAAAGCTGGGGAGGGACTTGGGCCAAGGGCAGGGAGGGATGGGATGAGGGGGAGGGATGAAAAGTGGGAGAGGGAGCTGGAGGTTGGAGCTGAGGAGGGAATTGTGGAGTGTGAGGGTGGGGAGAGCCTGGGCCAGGTTGCCCAGGGAAGCTGTGGCTGCCCCATCCCTGGGGGTGTTGAAGGGCAGGTTGGATGGGGCTTGGAGCAGCCTGGGCTGCTGGGAGGTGTCCCTGCCCATGGGGGGTGGGACTGGATGGGCTTGAAGGTCCCTTCCAACCCAAACCAGTCTGGGATTCTGTGATTCATGCTGGTCACACAAATCCTTCATCTTAACACCCTCAACATGAGTCAGTATCGTTACCTTCATCTCTTACCCCTCATTCTCAAACCTCTGACTTCAGGCCTAGAAATATCCCCTTATATTTCTCACCCCTCCCAGGGAGGGACACGAGTCACGGGGCACTGGGGCCGTCGCTGCCCCCTCAGCAGCCAGAGCAGAGGGACATGAACACCAGCTTATTTTTCATTTTCTTCTCTCTCTTTCTCCCTCCCAGGCCCAGGCAGTGCAAAACTGCAGCATCATGTAACTCCGTGGCACCATTCCTGTGTTTCCTGCCCATCTCCAGCTACTTGTTTTGTTTTTTTCTTTCCCAAAGCAAAAGAAACTACTATTTTTTTTTTCCTTTAAAAAAACACAAAGGGACATGAACACCAGCTTATTTTTCATTTTCTTCTCTCTCTTTCTCCCTCCCAGGCCCAGGCAGTGCAAAACTGCAGCATCATGTAACTCCGTGGCACCATTCCTGTGTTTCCTGCCCATCTCCAGCTACTTGTTTTGTTTTTTTCTTTCCCAAAGCAAAAGAAACTACTATTTTTTTTTTCCTTTAAAAAAACAACAAACCAAACCAAAACAACCAAGAGAATCAAAAACCAAGGTTGAGGGGTTTTTTGTTTTTCTAGAGCAGGAAACAAAAAAAAAAAAAGCCAGAAAAAAAAAAAGCTTTTCAGCTTTGAAATTTTTTTAAAACTTCAGCCAAAGACTTCAAGGAATGATGTTTACCAACCAGCTCTGCAGGAAGAGATTGCAGTTTGGTGGCTCTTTCGGTGACATCCTTTTTTTGCCAAAGCCTTTTAGATCCACCTGGGAGCAGCCAAACCAGCCCCCCCAGAGCTGCAGCCCTTGGTGCTGTTGTAGATCACCCCAGTTGTTTCTTTTTTTTTGCCACAGGTTGTTTTGGATCTGAACCCCCCCCAAAAAATAAATAAAAATCCCTTTTCTTTCTTTCCCTTTTTTTATTTGGTTGGGGTTTTTTTGGGGCCCCCCCCCCATGTTTTCCTGGCATGGGGGCTCCTGGCAGCTTGGGGGTGATGTCCTTGTCCCCCTTCCCAGCCCCCTGCCCATCACTCCACACGTACTGTAGTGCCCACCCGAGGCACCTCTTGCCATTGGGATGTTCCTCTTCTTTTTTTTTTTATGATGATTGATTTTCTTACTCAACCAAATCGTGCCTTAGCCAAGGTGGGGGCTGCTCCACCCCCTCCCCTGGGGCTGGGAACCCC